GAGTTGTTGGTACCTATACATCAGCCACATGACCAGTAGAGCATTGTATAGAACTTAAGTTACAGCTGCATTTTACATTTAGATGGTGACGTTTAGAATAAAGGAAGCTTACAAGGTGTAAGTCATCATGTGTTGCAAAGGTTATGCAAATCACAAGACTTACCATTACATGGATACTATTTGGTTCAAAGAAAGGGAGTCAATAGGGATTACATATTTGGGCATAGTCCAAAAAAGAAGTGTATAGACGGCAAATGCATAGAGGACAAGGGGACTCTGAGTAACGTGCTCAGAAATGTGCAGGACCGCTTGAGTCTTTGCCATGCCCTTCTCTAGGGGCTGTGGCAATATGGGGGGACATCAGTGGGTCCTTGTATCAGGTCCAGGTCAAGAGTAGGGAAATTTGCAAACGTTAAGAACCAAAGCTGCTATTGGAAACCTTCACTGTTCCTCTTTAACTAGAAGGAAGATACTAACACTGGCTAGAAGACTAAATAGATTGGTGCTATTCTGCTTTGTGCTTCCCTGGAAGGCCTAAAGTTGCCTCCCTAGCCATGCTTCTGAAATGTGTGATAAGAAAACACCCAGAGTAGTTCATGTTCTGGGTCAAAATCTGAGTTTGAGGCTGTGCCCAATTAGGTCAAGAATTACTCTAGTGGACACTCTGAGAACGAGGAATACTTGATTCATCTGATATCTTTATATTTGTGGGATCATCTGTGACCAAACTAAACCCCTCAAAATGGAGGCTGACAAAAACGACCCCTTCTGAGGGCGGGATAAGAGAGGTCTTGGTGAAGCCAGGTACCCACCTAAGGCAAAACATTTGGACCAAGTATAAGAAGTCAACCCCGCTTGACACACTTGGGATATTATAGTTATTGCTGGAGTTAGTATTTGCAGGGACAGTTTTACCAGTCTGTTGTTCCTTTCTTCCCAGCAATATTATTGGAAAGGAATGTTGGGGTGCTGTTTTCTGAAGTCAAATGAAGTTTGTTTATGATATCAACTTGAACTTAAGTTGGCTTTTGGCAAATGTTGAATAAACCAGCCTGGGCAACATATCAAGACCTGTCTCTAAAAAACAAAAACAAAAACGGCCAAATGTGGTGGTGCATGCCTGGGATCTCAACTACGTGGGAGGCTGAGGCAGGAGGATCGCTTGAGCCCAGACACTCGAGGCTGCAGTGAACTATGATTGCTCCACTGCACTCCAACCTGAGTGACAAAGCAAAACCCTGTTAAGAAAGAAAGAAAGAAGGAAAGAAAAAGAAAGAAAAAAGGAGGACAAAAGAATAGAAGAAAGAAAGAAGAGAAAGAGAGAGAGAAAGAAAGAAAGAAAACCTTCTGGATTGCCCTCTTTCCCCTACTCTACCTAATACGAATCAAAAACAGTATTTGCTTAACCTCTAGAATAGTATTATTCAAATGTGCCCCGGATAACTAAACTGATAAGTTGGATAAAATTAATTTCTGCAGGTGATGAACTTTTGTGAATCATTACTATTCATTCTGCGTTTTGCTTAAGCTACACCATTAAATCTGGAGCAGTGACAGAGCTACAGCACAAGCCCAGTTCTCAAGCAAAGCAGAACTTGAGGGGTCTAAATCTTTGAACACTGTCTTATGAAAGGCAATTATTGGATAAACCTGATTCTATTTGTTGTTGTTGTTGTTTTTAATTTGGAATGCATTTTTGTATTTTATATGGGCTTTATGGATATTTGTATTGTATTTATTTCTGCTTGTATTGCATTCCTGATCATCCTTTCTCCTTGGATTTGTTTTTAGAATAAAAATAGCTCTTTGTTTATTGTTATACCTTGTAGATCCTTGTTAAGCAGTCAATTACCTGATGTGAGATAAGTTTGAGGCATAGAAGAACTAGAAAGGAATCCACCACTAAACTAAGCAATAGTTCCAGCCTCTCAATAGAACTTTGAACATCGATCTGGGTTCTTTGAATTCAAAGTAACATGTAGCCTATCAAGAAATCCCAGAGGCTGTTCAACAGTGATGATTATGAGATCCAAAAATAGATCCAGTAAGTTGAAGACATAAAACTGGGTCTATTTTTTTTTTTCCGGAAGGAAAAAGCTAAGGGGATTCTTAAAGACTGTCTTCAAATTTGTGAAGTCCATTATTATTCCAAGGATTGTGATATATTCTCTTTTTATTTACTCTGTGGATGAAAATCAGGAAAAACTGGTTTAAGTTGTAACAGCTGAGACTTAGGTTAGATGGGAAGAAAAACAATTTTTGACAGAGAATGCAAAACGAACACCAAACAAGTGTGGGGATTTCATTTGTTTAGTAAATCTTTGACCATCTGCTCGACATTGGATTGAATAATCTTACCTATTGGTGATGATCCAAAGCTAAGTCTTTGTCTTAAGACCCTGAGGTTTTATTATGATTCTATACCCATTCCATTTTGTACTTTTTGAATGTCAGTCACTTTGATGATGATCTCTTCTTGGAAGCAAAAATTATCCTTCTCAGTATTATCCTTAGGAAGTAGTAACTGTAGTCCATTACTGAATTATTTGTATCTGTGCTAACGGTGAAGTGGGTATTTAAGAAAATACTGTGTTAAAATGCCAGTTTGAGGGTGATAGTGCTTAAAGTTGGTGATGAGGGCTTTTTAACTCTGTTTCTCATCAGCTCTGATGTCTTGGACCTCACATTCTTATTATAACAGATGTTTACTTTCTAAGACAGAAGATTGGCTGTTAACGAAACCTCCAATTCTGCAGGCTCTGGGTGGAAGCGCTGTCTGGAGACTGGTTTCATTGGCCCTCAGATATCGCCACCTAGTGAGTGGTTAGGGCTTGTGCTGTGATATTTAGAGCCCAACCTCTTCAATAAATATTTTATTTGTAAGGATTTTTGAAATTAATTTTTTGGGGCTCTCAGTGTATATTATTCCCTCCATGACACAATTAACTGAAATGATTAATTTTATTTATTTATTTATTTATTTATTTATTTATTTTGAGTTGGAGTCTCACTCTATCGCCCAGGCTGGAGTGCAGTGGCATACTCATGGCCACCCCAGCATCGACCTGTTGTGCTCTGGCAATCATTCCGCCTCAGCCCTCCAAGTAGCTGAAACTACAGGCACGCGCTACCAGGCCCAGCTAATTATTTATTTTTTTATTCTTTTATTGTAGAGATGAGTTCTTGCCAAGTTGCCTCTTGCCTCTGCCTCCCAAAGTGCTGGGATTACAGACTGAGCCACCAAGCCTGGCCATTTTATTTTTTTTAAAAACAAAACATAACAAAAATCCTACAAAGTAAATTACAGTTCTAAACCTGACCTTCTAACACTGTGAACTGAGAAAACTCGAACTCTCATAAAATAAAGATCAGGCCAACTGATGGTTTCTGAAAGTCTAACCTACCATACCATACCTCCAAGGCTCTGAAGTAAATTTCTAGATGTTACAATGTTGTCTACTCATTTAAATCTTTTAAAATTCATTACATTAGAAACCTTTATTGCTTTTTAAATTTTATTTTTAAAAAATTTACATTAGAAATGGGGTATTTCTATTTTGCTCAGACTGGTCTCGAACACCTGACCTCAAGCAATCCTTTTGCCTCGGGCTCCCAAAGTGTTGGCATTACAGATGTAAGCCACTGTGCCCAGCCAGGAACCCTTATTTCAAATACACATTTTGAAATTTATTTGAAAATAAAATCAACCGGGCATAGTGGCATACAGTTTTAATCTTAGCATTTTGGGAGGCCAAGGCAGGAGGATTGCTTGAAGACAGGAGTCCAAGACCAGCCTGGGCAACATAGTGAGTCCCCATCTCTACAACAAATTAAAAAACAAAAAAATTAAATGGGCTTGATGGTGCATGCCTACAGTTCCAGCTACTTGGGAGCCCGAGGTGAGGATCACTTGAGCTCAGGCGTTCAAGGCTCCGGTGAGGAACCGAGATTGTACCCCTGCACTCTAGCTTGGAAGGACAAGTGAGACCCTGCTCAAAAAAGAAAGAAAGAAAGAAAGAAAATAAAAGAAAATCAGATTTCTTCCAAGTGTAGCCAACACTCAATCTAAATTGTTAGAAATGTATTGTCATAGCAAAGGTAGTTTTAAATTGAGATGATTGATTCTAAAGCTCTCAGCCAAGTAACCTATAAAAAGTAGAAAAGAGTCGACATTTAAGACTTAGATTATGAGATTATGGTTCCCTTCTTATTTTCTTATTCCTTTCCCCATTTCATTCTCATTTCCTTTCCTTCTCTCCTTTATTTCTACACTGTCGTTATGTTTCTATAGTTAAATATGGTACAAGGATGTAATTTGTTTTTGAGACAGGGTCTTACTCTGATGGTCAGGCTGCAGTGCAGTGACACAATCAGGGCTCACGTTGAACTCCTGGACTCAAGTGATTCTCCTGCCTCAACCACCTGAGTAGCTGGGACTATAGGCATGTGCCACCACACCCAGCCAATTTTTAAATTTTTTTTTGTATAAGCGAGGTTTTGCTATGCTGCCTAGGCTGGTCTTGGACTCCTGGGCTCAAGCAATCCTCCCACTTCAGCCTCCCGAAGTGCTGAGAAAACGGGTGTGATCTACCTTGCCCAGCCTGGGATGTAATTCTTAAAGTAAATCCTTTCATCATTTTTAAACTTTTTTTTTTTTCTGGCTTTTGAAGTAAGAATTTAATGTTTTTTCAAAAGAATACTATTATTTCCTTGATATATTTTTCTCCCTATATGAGTTTTCAACTCTTAAAAGGAATTAAAATATAAAATTTATCTTTCTCCTATGATAGAAGTAAGCTATGTTTGTGATGCGCTTACTTTTTTTCTTTTTTCTCTGATGGGTTAAATGTAATTTGTCAGATGAGATAGTTTTCATGCTGGTATTTTTTCATCTGTTCAGAATTATATAACTTTGTAAATTCAGCGACTGAATTGCAGTGTCTATGCAGAATGATTTGGTTGACCAGGTTCTCGTTTACCCTGTCCTTTATTTCTTCTAGATACATTTCATATTGCTCTTCAGTCGACAAGGAAAATTACGGCTGCAGAAATGGTACACTACCCTCCCTGACAAAGAGAGGAAGAAGATCACCCGGGAAATTGTTCAGATCATCCTCTCTCGTAGCCATAGGACAAGCAGTTTTATTGACTGGAAGGAGCTAAAACTTGTTTATAAAAGGTGTGAGTAACTTTATGAGCTTTTGAAATCTATTTAAATATAAAATCAGCCAGGCACAGGGCTTATATTTGTAATTTCTGCGTTTTGGGAGGCCTAGGCAGGAGGATTGCTTGAGGACAGTTCTAGATCAGTTCGAGAACTGAATTTCTCATGATTGCTTTGTTTTACTCTAGTCCTGAACATGATTTCAATTCCATTGCAATGGAACAAATTCCTTCATTTACTGAAATCTTTGAAGGCTGGGGCCCAAATATTGGTACCAATAGACTAACTAGAAAAGATCCTTCATTTTATTAAAAGAAGATCTACGTGCCAGGGTGGATTCTAGGTACTTAAACTACATGTTTATGGTGCACACGTGCATTCAAGAACTATCTTATGAGCACCTATTATATTCCCAGCATTGTTCTAATGGCTGTGGATAGAGTAGCGAACAAGACATGTAACATTCCTGCTCCCATGGAGTACACTTATTTGTTAAGTAAACAAATGAAATCTTTTCAGTTAGTAACAAATGCTATGGAAAAAATGCAGGTTAGTGTGATGGATGGAAACTATGATCAAAGAGGGCAGTTCTTATTATATTTCTTACTCATATTTGCAGTGAAAGCTGAGGACATCAGTTCCCAGTCATAGCAATTGAGCAGTAACTGGTAAAGCCAGGATTCAAATCCAGATCTTTCTGACTTTAAAGCCTATATATCCTTTCTGTCACACCTGCTTATCATGGGCAGACCATACCAGAAAGAAACCTTAATTTGTAGATACGAGAACCGAGGCCCAAGTGCTGACATAATTTTGCCCATGGAGGCATTGATGTCTAAGCCAAGGTCAGAGCACAGCTGAGTTGGCCCTGCATCTGACACCATGCTGCAACTTTCAGAAGGAAAACACACATTAGATATGCTCTTGCAAAGAATGTTTATAAAACTTGATAGGAAGCCGGGCTCGGTGGTTCAGCCTGTAATCCCGCGCCTTTGGGAGGCTGAGGTGAGTGGATTGCCTGACCCCGTGGGTTCGAGACCCGCCTGGGCAGCAAGACCTCATCTCTACAATAAATAAAAAAATCAGCCGGGCATGGTAGCGCATGCCTGTAATTCCAGCTACTTGGAAGGCTGAGGTGGAAGGATCACCGGCAGGTCGAGGCTGTGGTGGCCGGGAGCCGCCACTACACTCCAGTCTGGGCGACAGAGTGAGACTCCAACTCAAAAAAAACAAAACAAAACAAAAAAAACAACTCGATAGGAAAAAAAGAGGTAGCCTCTGCAGGCTGATACGGAGTAATGGAGTAAATTACCAGCAAATGCCTTCAAAGCCTCTTCTGCTGAGTCCAAGTTAGAGTTTAATGGGATGGGAGTCACTTACAGAATGACTAAAGCATGGTGTGAAGGGAGAGGGCAGGGAGTGTGGGCCCCTGAGAATGTTGGTTAGGGGTTTTGATTTCACAAAGAACAATTTACAAGCTGGAGAGGGGTGCGAAAAACACTCTGATTACCCTGGGCCAAAGGATGTTGTCCCCAGTTAAAATTTCTTCGAGGTGAAGTTTTGTTGAGAGAGAAACTTTTATATAATTAGCAGAAGTAGTCCAATCACCACCATATTTTTATATATCCTGACATATTTTGGGATGATATTGGATGGATTTGTGATTAATGATGATTTCATACTTGGACGGGGAGAGGCTCTGGTGGGAAGGACGTGACTTTGGATATCCATTGGGAAAAATCCATCTTCAGATTGTTTAATGTATCATTTTGCTTTTTCTTTATTCTTTTTTCAAGGTATGCTAGTTTATATTTTTGCTGTGCAGTAGAAAATCAGGACAATGAGCTCTTGACACTAGAGATTGTGCATCGTTATGTGGAGTTACTGGACCAATACTTTGGAAATGTAAGTGTTCTGGACTATTAGGGTTAATTACAGTCACCATCTCAGCTCTTACATAGTTCTTTCTCTCATCTCTTTCCTTCTTTCTCTCAAGTCTAAAATATGAATTGTATTTGTACCAAGGAGCATACCGGTCTACATAGGATCAGAATACAAGGTTTTCTCCCTACTTATAGTTCTTTTTTCTTTTTTTTGAGTTGGAGTCTCACTCTGTCGCCCAGGCTGGAGTGCAGTGGCACACTCACGGCTACCCCAATGTCAACCTTTCGGGCTCTGGCAATCTTTCCACCTCAGCCTTTCAAGTAGCTGGAACTATAGATGCGTGCTACCATGCTCAGCTTTTTTTAATTTTAATTTTTGATTATAGAGATGAGATCTTGCCAATTTGCCCAGGCTGGTCTTGAACCCATGGGCTCAGGCAATCCCCTCGTCTTGGCCTCCCAAAGTGCTGGAATCATGGGCTGAGCCACCGAACCCGGCCCCTACTTATAATTCTTAACAAATGAAAGACCCATCATTTTCATGACGTGGGCCATCTTTATTTTCAGACCACAAATACACAAGAGACATTATTTCAGTGAACCAAAATTTAATTGTGAAGGAATCCTTAGTATTCTGTCCCTTATTCCTCACTGACTTTGTCCTCTCTCTTCTATTTTGACTTCTTATCCTTTCACTAGCTTTTTCTCTAAGCTACAAATATTTTTAAATTTTATATGTGAAAAACAAACAAGCAAATAAAAACAAAAAACAAAAAAAAAAGCAAAAAATAAAAAAAAAATTCCCAAATCCTTTCTCTTCACATTGCTATTCAACAATCATATTGAATTTTTTGCCAAGTGAGATGCTGTATCAGGTGCCCCAGTCCTCAGAACCCATTCACTTTGCAGGGGCTTACAGCCTGGGTGAGGTCCATCTTTACGGCACCAAGAACATAAGAAAGTTCACATTGAGCCCTCCCAAGGTTCCACACCAGTGATTCTTCTTAAGTCTTCCCCTGCTTTCGCCTCTTTGCAGCACTGGGTCCTTGCTCATCACAACGCTTTCTTTACATTTGCCCATCTTTATTTTGCCATGACATTTATTTCTGCTGATTCTTGTCCTGTATTTCTGACGGCCCTTCCTTGGTTTCATCCACTGAGCTCCCTTCCTCCTCCTGCCCTCTGCATATCCTCATCTCTTCTTTGTGTGTCTACGACTCTCTCCTAGAAATACATCACTAAGTGACTCTTTTTCACATTGTTGGTGACAATCTTCACTGGGCTTCTCATGGTCAAGAACTAAGTGCATCTTCTGAAAACCTGTTCTGTTTTGTGGTTGGAATTTATGATATTCCAGGACCCTTCAATGCAGAAGGGCAGTTTTTCTTTCATATTTTTTTCTACGCTTTGCTAGAATCTACCTCTATCTATTCAAATTGTGCTAACATTCATTTCCTTTTTTCTACTCTCACTAGTATAGGCTTATTTGGGATTTCAGTTTTGCTTTTCTCTTAAATATCATATCTGGCACTTTGTGCCTCTGGGTTTTTCTCTGTTTCTCTTCTTGGTCTGTTAGTTATCATCTTCTTAAAAAAAATACAGATCTAGCTGGGTGACAGAGTGAGACTCTGACTCAAAAAAAAAAAAAACCACACAGATCTAGTTTGGGTGTGGGAGTACATCCTTGCTACTCTGGAGGCTGAGGCAGAAGAATCACTTCAACTCAGAAGCCCAGGAATTAAAGACCAGCCTGAATAACATATGAGACCCTGTCTCAATATTTAAAAAAATAAAAATTGCCTAAGTCCATGGGTTCGAGACCTGCCTGAGCAACTTGGTGAGACCTCATCTCTACAATAAATCAAAAAATTAGCCGGGTGTGGTAGCGCGTGCCTGTAGTTTCAGCTACTTGGAAGGCTGAGGTGGAAGGTTCGCCGGAGCCCAGCGGGTTGAGGCTGTGGTAGCCGGGAGCGGCCACTGCACTCCAGTCTGGGCAACAGAGTGAGACTCCAACTCAAAAAATAAAAAATAAAAAATAAATAAATAAATAAATAAAAATTAAAATAACAAAAAACAAAAAGTCAAACACAGATCTAGGTGTGTTGGTCCTTTGTGGTCACTTTCCATTATCTGCAATGAATACAATTCTAATTTCCTAGGCTGACATTTAATCTTTCAAAACATTGATCCCAGACCACTCCTCTGACCTTGTTGTTTTTCTCATTATATGCCAGACAATGCTCCAGTGATAAGCAACAGCCATGTAGTATTGCTAACTGGCACCAGATTTGCTTGACCAACAAATTGCAAGTCTCCTGAGACCATGATCTAAGACTCATTTTCCCCCTCTACCACTTGTAACCAGCTGTGGGCTAGCAAATGTTCCAAAACATTTAATGTAGTTCACAGTCTAAGTAAATAAATCACTGGATTTGGAAAATATTTTCTTCTTCTTTCTTTGAGTCAGAGTCTCACTCTGTCTCCCAGACTAGAGGGCAGTGGCACACTCACAGCTATTGCAGCCTGGATCTGCTGGGCTCAGGCAATTCTTCTGTCTCAGCCTTTCAAGTTGCTGGAATTACAGGTTTGTGCCACCATGTCTGAATAATTTTTTGGTTTATGTAGAGATGAGGTCTTGCCAATTTGCCCAAGCTGGTCTCAAACCCCTGGGCTCAGGCAGTCCTCTCACCTCTGCCTCCCAAAGTGCTGGGATTATAGGTGTGAGCCACAGTGCCTGGTGGAAAATGTTTTCTTCTAAGTAATATCCTCTTCCCTATTTCTTTGCTGAAGATTTTTTATTAAGGATTGTTAGAAGAATTTGCTTCCAGAAGGGTTTTCTCTATTCTCTTTAACGGAATGAGCAGTATTGAATGGGTTTTATCAGATTTGTTGCAACACTTTTCATAAGGATGAACACTCAAAAGATTTGTAAAAGAAGTTTTCTCCTTCCTTTTTTTTCCCTTTGTAAATGATGTTATAAGATCTAAAATGCTGCTTCAGGGATTTCAGGTTGTTGGTCAATATGTAGTAGTATTAAGACAGCTAGACTATATTTTCTTTCTCCTGCTCTTGATATAACAAGTTTATTTTCATTTTTAAAGATAAATTTGCCAATATATAATAGCATATTTTCAAATGTGAGATTAATGTTTTCTATTATTCAAATGAAGTCCCCACCCCCCTTTCTTTCATAATTTTTTTGCAAAGACAACGTCTAGCTATGTTGCCCAGGCAGGTCTTGGACTCTTGGGCTCAAGTGGTCCTCCCACCCTGGCCTCCCAAAGTGCTGAGATTATAGGGTTGAGCTACCATGCCTGGTCTTGTGCTTGTTTTTGAAATAAAAGACAGACTTGGCCTTTCACAAGGGCCTGAAGTTTTCCTGAGATCTGTGCTTTCCTATAACCATGCCTTCTTTTCCTCATTTCTGTACTCTGATTCGACCTGTGGCATTTTCCTAGATTAAATCAACTGTAATAATATGAATTGGGGCTGAATTTTGATCTCATTTTATCTGGGTGAATTTCAACCAGGTATCTCAGAGCACGTTGCTTCTCAAGAGAATTGGTGTGACCTTCACCAGTTCTCTTCATTGCTAAGCCCAGTTAAAGTATAAGGAGAATCAGAATGAATTCCTATTTTCCTAACATTAATTTTCCATCCTATTTTGCTATATCTTTGGAATCTCTGTCTTTGTCATGTACCAAAATTTAATTCATTAAAAAAAATGAATCTTTTATTAAGCTAAGATTAGCTTAGAGCAATTCAAGGCCATATGCCCAGTAGATGCTCAATTCTTATTAATTAACAATGATGAACAAAGATTTCCGGTACTGATTCTCATTGACATCATCTCAGGAATAATATATTTATTTTTGGTTTTCTTCTCCTTTTGTGTTAATACTAAAGCTTTTTCTTGAATTCTGCCCTGATATTATCCATGGGAGAACTTTATACTGAGCTTCTGTTATAACACTGGAAAATATTATCTTCTGAAGACAGATGAATCAAAATCTCTGGCTACTAATTTAAGTTATGTATTTTTTTTTTTAGCACCTTTCAATTCCAAAGAGATTTACAAGGATTAACTGGTTAATCTTTCGATCTTCAGTAAGTAGCATTAACCCCAATTTATAGGGGCTTGAGGAAATGCCTCAGTCTCACAGTAGATAAGGCTCTGTTTGAGGATTTAGATACCTGCCATATTTTCCCATTATAGACTGTGGTGTGAACTTTTACTGATGGCCCTTGGAGTGTGAGTATGTTGGTGTCCCAGAGAGATTTTGAACTTGACTTAGGGAGGTTTTTGTTGTAAGAGGATGAGCACTATGAGTCCGGACTAGTGTCAGCTCACTCACTAGTCAGATCCACAATTTGGGGCCTGTCATGTATCTCCTTTTTACAGATGAGAAAAATGACCCTCAGAATGGTTAAGAGAAGTATTTACTTTGTTAACTTCATGAGAATGTTTGGAGGAGCTGAAACTGAGAGATAGCAATACATAATAAAACATTAATTGCTACATAGTTGTACATTGCATTCTATTTCTATTTTATATACAGCTTAGTATTTATATAGTTCTTATTATCTGAATCATCTACAGTATGTAATTTTGAACTTCTTGTATTTACTTTAGAATAGAATTTAATAAGGGCAGGTGCTTCTTAGATTCTGTCCAGAAGGATTATGTTGGTGAAGTGCCAGAAATAATCTCACTGTACCATGTATTCTCCAAGAAAAGAGCCTTAAGCCAAATTACAGTAAAACATAAGTATAGGAAATTGAGGACAAAGATAAATGATCAGTTTCTGCCTTTTGTAAGTGTTATTCCAGAATCTAGATATATGAGGGAGAAAAAAAGAGGTTCATGTGTTTATTAGCATGGTGAGAAGGGAGGAAGCCAAATATATTTGCATAATTAGAGGGAGTGAAGTCACTTAAGCATCAAGGACATATTTCTGGTGTATTGAGACAGAATCTCAAGGTGGAATTTAGAGATATTTGAGTAATTACGCAGTAGCTGAGTAAACTTGAATTTGGTTTAAAGTTTTCTTGGGATGTTTCCCCTTTTTATATTCTCAGATGACTTTAGACTCAAAGAATAACCATAGAATAGCACTTTGGATTTCCTATGCTGGCTAGGCATGATGACTCATGCCTGTAATCCCAGCACTTTGGGAGGCTCAGGTGGAAGGATCACTTGAGGCCAGGAGTTTGAGACCAGCCTGGGCAATACAGTGAGACCCCATCTATGTGCGCGCGCACACACACACACACACACACACACACACACACACACACACACACACACTCGGTGGCACACCTATAGTTTTAGCTACTCAAAAGACTGAGGCAGGAGGGTTGCTTGAGCCCAGGATTTCAAAGTTGCAGTGAGCTAAGATCGTGCCATGGTGCTATGGCACTCCAGTCTGGGCAACTGAGTGAGACTCTGTCCAAAAAAAAAAAAAAAGAAAAGAAAAAAGGAAGAAGAAAAAGAAATAGTTGCTCATAATGCCAATGAAACTTATGCACACATTTCTCTCGTTATGTAGAGATAGTAACTGTATACAAAGGTATGTGTTGTATATCTGACTCTGCATACTATCTTACTTTATCCTTATCCCTTGAAATGAGGTATAGTAAATTAATTGCTCCATGACTACTGGAGGACACTATTGGCCTGGGGATAGGTTACTGCTCTCAGAGTGAGGTATAAGAAGTCCTAGAGAACTTGCATTAGTATTTGTCAGGTTTATTTTGCAGGATTCGAACTGCTGGTTTCTCCTATTGAGGCTCCTGCTTGTCTTGGGTTCCTGTTCTACGCCTGCCTTGAACTGAGTTTCCTCAACTGTTGCTACTTTAACTCCTGACTTCTGCCTCTTCTGACCGCTGGTAACTGCTTACTTCTTATACTTTCTTTCATGTGCCTGGATATCTGATCTACTGTGATTTCTTTTTGTTCCTTATATTGTTTAAAATGACAAAATAATGCATATGTTTTACATATCTTTCTAGACATATTACAGCTTTTAAAAAAGTAAATGGAATTACGTTATGCACATTATTCTGCAACTTTCATTTTGTCTCTTACAAGTCTATCTTGGAGCTTTTTCATGTCTGTCTATGTGAATCAACCTCATTCTTTACAATTTCTACATAGAAAGTATTTGCAACATATATAAAGGGGGAGGCACAAGATAGTAGCTGTGGTACAGAAATGATTCTTGCAAATTCCTAAGGTAAACATCACAATATAAAATGCAAATAAAGTCTTCAAGAAGCGATTCATAGACAGGGCGATAAATATGTATTGGAAAAGACCAATACATATCTAATATGATGTGCAGCCTCCCTAGTAAGCCGAGAAATGCAAATTTAATTAATGTTCATCTAAAAATTAAGAGAGGGCATTGATTGCTGGTGATGTTATGGATAAATGGATATTCACTCTTACTGTTAATGGAATTTGTAAATTTTATAGACTACTTTGGAGGACCAAATTTTGTAGCATTTAATAATTGCATATGTATAAATCCTTTGACTCAACAATTTCAGAAATAATTTATTCCTATGCTATACTCAAATTAGTGTGCCATCATATATATAAACAACAAAATTTATAGCAGCATCATTTAAAATTAGAAACACCCAAAGTCCATCCATATCCATAAAGGAATTATTTAAATAATAAAGTCTGATTGTAGAAGTTGGATTCAACTGAATTGGTTAACATAAACCATGTTCCTTGTGGTGTCTGCAAGTTTATTAATCTATATTGTAAATATATGGAGCAGTTTGTAAAATATTGACATCTATTTTATGTAAAGTTATAGCATTCAGTAGAATCAGAGAATTATCTATCTGGGAAGCCATTAATCACCAGTATAGTAGAAAGAAGGCCTATAAGGTGGCTGCTCATTCATTTTTCCTACAAACACTTACTACATCCTACTGTGTACTAGATACAAGTGATATAAAGATGACTAATACAAGGTCTCTTCCCAGAGCTCACAGTACAGAGGGAGTGATTAGTAATCAATAAACTAGCATAAACTAGTGCACAGAAGATATGAGAATCCAGAGGAAGTGATGTGAGATCTAAATGTGGAAGAGAGGACATAAGGAATCGCTATGCCCCTGACTTTTGAATTCGGCCTAGCAAAATGATCTTGGTTTTGCCAACAGAATAAAGAAAAGGACATTTGGGAAAATTCCAAGAACTGCTGGAACAAAGGGCAAAGTCATGAGAGAACACTGTGAGTTTGTAGCATGTGTGGCTGACACATGAATGAGTGCTGCCACAGGAAACCAGACAGCAGGGTCCAAGCTGGCTGTAAAGAGTCCTATATGCACTAAGAGGACTTAGACTTGGTCCTGAGACCTTACCCAAGAGAGGCACAAGGTCAGCAGGCACAGGCACAGCCACCACTTAGAAGATCATTACAGTGGCCTAAGTGAGATGTGTTGCAGGCCTGAGCAGTGGCTATGAAAACAGAGGAAGGGTTAGGGATTTATTTAGACCATAGAATCAGTGGGAAACAGTGACCAAATCGAGGAGGATGAGAGAAAGGGAGGGGGAGGAATGCAGGGGAGGGGAGAGATAAGTGAACTCCAGAATGAATTAGATCAAGCAATTAGGAAGAAGTTGCAACTACTAAGCAAAGTAGAGACTAAAGGAAAAAGAATATCTTGATATCAGTTTGAGACATGGTGACATGGATTAAGAATAGGCAGGTAGAGACATCTGATTCGCAGATGAAAATATTGGATTAGCGCCCCAGAGGGAGATCAGGTCTAGACATCTATGTTTGTTGAGTCACCTGCATGCTAGACACAGTTGTAGAGAGTCAGTGAGTTTGTCTGGGAGAATATGGGTTTTGCCAAGAGAAGAGGCTCCCTCGAGAAACACCAATATTCAAGAAGATGGATGGCGGGAGTGTAAGCAACGTGTGGCAGACATTTGTCTGTTCTGCTGGTTAATATGTTCTAAGCACACCATAAATCTCAAACAAATGCACTGTAGAGGACAGATAAATCATTCAAAGAGTCTGAGAAGGAGTCATCAGAACAGGCATTAAATGGTATTGTCAAAGTCAGGGGAGCAAGAGAGAAGAAATATTCCAAGGATGGAAATTGATGAAGAGTACCAAATGCTGCTGAGAGGAAAATGAGAGGGGGGAGGGGGAGGACTGGAGACTTTCCATGAGCAGAGCTTTAAGATAGCAGCTACTGTTGGGTGGAGTAGAGCACGAGGGTATGGTATGGAATGTGAAAGTGAAGTGTCAGGGAGGTGAGGAATAGGTGGAGAGAAAGACAGCCTGAATAGCCATCCAGCAGAGACATTGGAGATGAGCCTTATGTGGGTTATAGGGCACAGTCTTGCCACTTGCTACACTTGGACACCCAAATCTATCAGACTTCGCTTTGGTCTGTGACGGGTTCGCCATGTAAAGCTCCCCAGACCAGCAGCCTCAGCATCATCTGGGAACCTGTTAGATGTGCAGACTGTCAGGACTTACCAGGGCCTACTAAATCAGAAGTTCTGGGGGTGGGGCCCAGCAATGTGAATCTCTGTATTTTTTATTTTTTTATTTTTTGAGTTATAGTCTCATTCTGTCACCCCAGGCTGGAGTGCAGTGGTACACCTATGGCTGCTGCAGCCTCTATCTGCTGGACTCAAGGTGATCCTTCCACCTCAGTCTTCCAAGTAGCTGGAACTACAGTCACATACCACCATGCCTGGCTAATTTTTAATTTTTTATCATAGAGACAAAGGATTGCCAAGTTGCCCAGGGTAGTCTCAAACCCCTGGGCTCAGACAGTCCTTACTCCTCCACCTCCCAAGGTGCTAGGATTACAGGCATGAGCCACTGCATCTGGCCAAGTGTGAGTCTTAATGAAGCTTCAGTGTCTGGTCCACTCTAAAATTGGAGAACCACTGGCCTGTCACAAAATTCTGAGAAATATTAAGGCAGTTGAGCTGATTTGTCTCTGACGAGTGAGCTTCTGAGAGAGTCCTAAAGCCAGAAGCCAAGATTCACAGTTCATAGAGCTGGGGAGATGGAGTTCTGCCTTCCTACACGGATTGCAGCCGGGCTAGGCTTTCCTTGGTGCAGAGGGAAAGGGGAGCTGTGCGGTCTCATTCCTCATTCCTCCACTGAGTCTCACATTTCCTGTTGCAACATAAAACCTTGTTATCTAAGGACATGCTTTGCATTAGTGGAATGTAGTTCTGCTTTTATTCAAGACCTGGAATTCCCTCTCTATTTTTCTGTCCTTCAAAAAGCCATCTGATACTTTGATCTTTGGTATGCCACACGGGTGCAGATGTCGAAAAAGCTCAAGAACACTGGCAAATGTTTCCCCTCTACAGCTGCAAGTTCATCCAAATGTTTGTTTTTCTTCCATCAGGTCTGTGAGCTGGATATTATCTTTAATTTTGAAAAGGCTTATTTCATCCTTGATGAATTTATAATAGGTGGAGAAATTCAGGAAACATCCAAGAAAACTGCTGTCAAAGCCATTGAAGACTCTGATATGTTACAGGAGGTCAGTACGGTTTATCATGCTATGGGAAAAGATGACAATGATGATGATAGTGTTAATAATTATAATATTAGTGAAAACTTACTGAGTATTTACTCTACACCAGTATAGTTTCTAGGCAATTTACTTGTATTAGCTTCTTTAATTCTCATAGCAACTTTAAGATGTAGATAGTATTGTTATCATCATTTTACAGATTAGTCAACTAAGAAACCAAAAGGCTAAATGACTTGCCCAATTTCCCACAGCGAGTAAGTGTGAGAAGTTTTTTGTTTTTCTTTTGAGTTGGAGTCTAACTCTGTTGCCCAAACTGGAGTGCAGTGGCATGCTCACAACCACTGCAGCCTCGATCTGCTGGGCTCAGGTGATCCTTCCTCCTCAGCCTTCCAAACAACTAGAACTATAGGCATGTGCCACCATGCCCAGATAAAAATTAAAGTCGTTGTTGTTGTTTGAGTTGGAGTCTCACTCTGTCACTCACACTGGAGTGCAGTGACATGCTCACGGCCACCACAGCCTCAACCTGTGGGCTCAGGTGATCCTTCCACCTCAGTCTTCCAAGTAGCTGGAATTACAGGCATGCACCACCACGCCTGGGTTTTAATTTATTGTAGAGATGAGGTCTCGCCAAGTTGCCCAGATTGTCTCGAACCCGTGGGTTCAGGCAATCCTCTCACCTTGGTCTCCTAAAGTGCTGGGATTATAGGTGTGAGCCACCGCACCTGGCCTAGTAAGTGTGAAATAGGAATTCGAGCCCAGGCAATTGGGCTCTAGAGTATTTGCTGTTTGTGTTTGACTGTGTTTTGCATTATGAGGATGCCTCACTGTCAAAAAGATATCCAGTGCCTGGTGCTATTCTTTTCAAGAATAATTTTATGAGATGTATAAAAAGACTTCCATTAAAATATCTCTACTGCCCTGGGAAAGGAGAAGAGCAGTACATGATTATTTCATTTTCCAGGGATATTAGAGTATTATTACTGAACATGGCATTTATCATTTTAATTAAAATTTCTTACACCTTCTGGGAAGGATGCATGTGTGTTTCTGTTTGCATAAATAAATTGGGAATACCGTGGCTTGCTTGCCAAGGTATAAGTGGGCCCTGAAGCATCCACTTGGTCCTGCTCCTAACTTTCTGTGGTTCCTATGTAAAATATTGTGGGACTTTTTTTTTTTTTTTTTTTTTTTTAAGTCAGAGTCTCACTCTGTAGCCTAGGCTGGAGTGCAGTGGCATGCTCACAGCCACCACATCCTTGACCTGCTGGGCTCAGGCAAACCTTCCACCTCAGCATTGCAAGTAGCTGGAACTACAGGCACATGCCACCGCACTTGGCTAATTTTTTGATTTATTGTAGAGATGACGTCTCGCCAAGTTGTCTAGGCTGGTCTTGAACCCGTGGGCTTAGGCAATCCTCTCATCTCGGCCTCCCAAAGTGCTGGGATTATAGGTGTGAGCCACTGTGCCCGGCCATATTGTGGGACTTTTAGAAGTAGTGCAGGTTTGCACCATAATTTATATGGAAAATTACCTACATTAGTCCCTTCAGTCTTTCCAGAAACACTGTAAGAAAGAGCATTTCACCCCACTGACCTCTGCCCTCCCAAATGAGATGCTCTGACCAGCCCCAGTGTGTGTCTGAGGGTCTGGGTTCTATACCAGTGTGCCACTTCTAGGAACTTCTTCCCATAGCAACATTGGGTTTTTCCAACTTCCTATTTCTTTAACAGTAAGCCAAGAGGATTCAGAGCATTGTAAAGCACCTTTTTATTTTTAGTCTTCATTTATTTATTTTTGAGTCGGAATCTCACTCTATCACCCAGGCTGGAGAGTGCAGTGGTACAATCATGGCTCGCAGCAGCCTCAACTTCCTGGGCTCAGGCAATCCTTCCACTTCAGCCTCCTGAGTAACTGGGCATATACCACCATGCCCAAGTAATTTTCAAATTTTTTTTTGTAGAGATGAGGTTTCACTATGTTGCCCAGGCTGATCTCAAACTCCTGTACTCAAGCAATCCTCCCGCCTCAGCCTGTCAAAGTGCTGGGATTACAAGCATGAGTTACCGCACCTGGCCAGTAAAATACTGTTTTAAAATGGATGTTAAATCTATTTTATCCTGCTATTTGGAAATAAATGGCTGATTAAATTAATGAAACACTGTTAGGCAAGATTTCCCAGCAACTGTTCTGGCACATCTTTGAACTAATTACTTATTTCTAGCCAGTGAGGGGATTGGTCCTGCAGTGAATGGATGTGGAAAAAGGTGTCTGCTTGAGTGGGTACTCATAACCAGTTATCTCTCTGTGCCTACTAGGAGGCCAATGCACTCATTACTAGAGGTGTTCTCACCTCCAAAAATGCATTTAAACTCTCTGATGTTTACTTGGCTCTTTCCAAATGCCACAGGAAGGGAATTTTACAAGGTATTTGAGAAACAGTGGTTTGGAAATTTCTCAAAACAGTGTTTCATAAAATATACTGGGGGTAGGAGTGGAGGTTATTTATAACTCTATCCTTGTGGTCTTTGAGGTGGAATCTCCTTATAGAAGAAGCAGACATTTAGTAAGGTCTTTGGCTCAATAATTAAAGCTCCCTGAACTGGGGCCAAGACACATCTGGGCTAATTTGAAATCCCTTCTATAGGAAGTAGAGTTTTAAAGAGCTTGCCACAAATCTGGTGTTTCTAGTCCATTTAAATCCAGGTGGCAGGTATTTCAAGAGTGAGTTCTTTCGCAATTAAACACTAATTGGTAGTTCATGTCCCTGGCGATTCAGTGGAAGCTCTTGATGAGTAGGTATCAGGGAGCACTGCATTTAGCCCTGTGCCCTCATAGTGAGCAGACAATGTATTGCCACCCTCTAAATCTCTCTTGTTGAATTAGCAGCACCTGCCAAACAGAGAATGTGTTGTTAGTGTTCTATTGGGTTCTGGCGCTCACTTCAGTAAAGCCAATGAATATTGTGGGGAGCTGAAAATTGACATTGAATATCTGGCCTGCTTCAGAAAACTTTAGAATGAGTAGAATCCAATAATATAATTGCATAAAGGTTTTATATATATACATACACACACACACACACACACACACACACACACACACACACACACACACACTCCTTTCTCTCCCCTATCCTTGGACCTAAGCACATATTTGTAGTTACTAAAGGTTTGTGACATTGCTTTAGCTGTTAGAGCAACTGTAAACCTTAAAGCAGCCTCTGGGTCTTTGTCCTAAATCCCAACAACAACAACAACAACAACAAAATAATAATAATAATAAAGCTGTGTTTGCCTGCATATTTAGTAAAGAAACTGTTGCAAATCTCCAAGTTCTCAAAGTTTATTCTGAGTGTATTGTGGCTAAATGTTGATAATAGAAAAAGAAATGGACAGTTTAATTGGTTGGGGATAACTTATTTGGGTATAGCAACAAAGTGGATGATGGCACAATTACTAGAAAGAAAATGAAATTCTGGGAGAATATTGGTCACTAACTGAAGAGTTTGCAATTTCTGGGATGACCAGTGGGGGTGGCAAACAGTAGATGTTTTACACAGACCAAGAATATATTTGAGAGGGAGGGGTCAAATGGTACCTCATGAGCTCATGCAACAGGATACCTCATATCTTAAAATGGATGCATGGTACACCTCAACACTGTCACCCTTAAAAGTGTAAACAGTGTTAACAGCTATACCAAACCATAAATTTAGTAGGAAGTCGTAGCATGTTCAGTGCTGTATGCACAAGAAACACAGCAGAGCTAGGTGTATCAAGAAAAGGTCACAAGATATAGCCCTCCTCATTGTGCAGGTAAGGGCAGTTAAGGTTGTGCTATCTTTAAAAGTCTGTCCCAGGCCTTTAAAGAGGCACATTCATGAAAATAGCAACTTTTACATTATTGGCTCACATAATTTGAGTCACAGGATGGCTGGGCTCAGACAGGGCAGCCAGTGCAGTGTCTAGTAGACAGAGTCATCTGGTGGTATGAGCAGTGCTAATAAGAAGCCAATGAGCCACAAAGCCAGCAAAGTGTCAACTTTAGGGCCTTTGACTGTTTCTGGCCCCTTCCAAGCCTGCAGGACAGGCCTAGCAATGCCCTCATGTGGTCATTGGTTTTTGTCAAATTTGGAAAAGCAAGCTATTTTAACTGCAAAGAATATGTAACCACACAATGAAATATAGGTTATGATAGAAGGGCACAAGCAATTAATGAATAAAAATGTGCAATTGTTTTGAATTTTGTAATATTTGTCATTAAAAACTCATAATCTGCCATAAATTCTTTTCCTATTCTAAGTACTTTTTTTATTTTTTGAGTTGGAGTCTCACTTTGTTGCCCAGGCTGGAGTGCAGTGGCACGCTCATGGCCACCACAGGCTTGACCTGCTGGGCTCTGGCGATCCTTCTGCCTCAGCTTTCCAAATAGCTGGAACTACAGGCATACACTACCATGTCCGGTGAATTTTTTGATTTATTGTGGAGATGAGGTCTCGCCAAGTTGCCTAGACTGGTCTCAGGCAATCCTCTCACTTCGGCCTCCCAAAGTGCTGGGATTTTAGGCATGAGCTATCATGCCCATCCTAAGTAAACTTTATACCTAATTTTGTATTTGTAACTTTGTGTTCTTTTTAAAATGGTATATACTCTAGATTCCACAAAACCAACCTGGGCCACTGATCACTAGGATATCTGCTAAGTTAAGAGACACGGGCAGTATTTGTAGGAGGAGATACAGGGCAGAGGGGTTTGAGACTGGGAGCAATTGCACATTTAGGAGGTAAGAGCTTTATAAGAAAGTCTGGATGACTGAGCATGAATGTTTTCAGCAAAAGAGCTCTGGAATTCTAAATAGATTTGGTGAAAACCAGCTAGAAAACCAGATTTCTAACCCTGGTATCCACTGAGCTATCTTGCTTAACCAGTGGCCTTGGTCTCTCTGGCCCATTTCAGTTGTGTATTTCCTGGCATGTTCGAATGGGTTACATGCCCTGTTTAAGCTTAAGAACAAGTCAAGCCTCAACTGCCAAGTGAGCTGACAGGGACTCAAACAAAAGAGGCAGAGTGTCCTGAGGGTGATTTTCTGCCCCCTTGAGCTGTGTTGTTGATTCAAGCAGAGGCCATGTTACACAACTATATATGTATATATGCATTTATATATATACACATATAATGCATACATTATGCTATATGTTTATATGTTATACAAATATGTGTATATGTTTATAGTGGGGAACAATACAAGAGACAGTCCATCCATCTTGTATGGTATAGAACATACAAAATCACTGTAACTTTTTAATTTTATTTTATATTTTTTTGAGTCAGTGTCTCACTCTGTTACCCAGGCTGGAGTGTACTGGCATGCCCATGGCCACCGCAGCCGCAACCTGCTGGACTCAGGCGGTCCTTCCACCTCAGTCTTCCAAGCAGCTGGAGCCACAGGCATGTGCCACGATGCCTGGCTAACTTTTTTTTATTGTAGAGACGAGGTCTCACCATGTTGCTCAGGCTGGTCTTGAACCTCTGAGCTCAGGCAATCCTCTCGCCTCCACCTCCCAAAGTCCTGGGTACAGGAGTCAGCTGCTGTGCCCAGCCACTGTAATTTTTAACTCTGCCTATACTTCTGTCTGTTTAAACATTTTTTAAAAATAGTACTGAAAAAAATTATGACCTGGTGGCTCATTAGCAAACTTGGTAACTGATGGGAATTACAAAGAAACATAATTTGGAGGAAAGCTTTTGAAATCACATGGCAGAAATTCTTAAGAATTATGGTCTATTTATCTTTTATGTCTTGGCAATAAGTGTAATGACGATGTTTTGCACAACATAGGTGACAATACATGTGTTATACAAATACAATTAAGACTTCTCTTATCCACGCACTTGGATATGGTCCTCATAATTATTTTAGCAGACATATTTATCTTAAGTCATCAGTGATAGCTTGGCAACCGTTACTTTAGCATTTCTCTCATCAGACATTCATTTTAGGATCAACTTTAACTTTTTTCTCAGGTGAAAGATATTTAATTCCAACCATGTGAATGAGTATACAAATTATACTCAAACTTTGAGCCACCTTTCTTGAATAGAATGCAAAGATGTATCCATTTAGCAAACTTCTTTTCAATGATGACAAATAAATAAGAGAATGAAAACAATTTCACAGTCTGCTGAAGGATTAAAGGAGAAATTGTTCTAACTTATTGTTCTCTTTCAGACAATGGAAGAATACATGAACAAACCCACATTTTAACTATGCATCTACTTGAAGACTCTGAATGCTACCTGTTGTGAACCTGTAAATAAGCAGTGGTTTGCATCCAGTTTTTCCGATAGAGCCTGTGGCACCATGCCAAAAATAACTTAAAGGGATTATTTGTTAACTAACAAAAATCAAAGTTGTTTAACATAACATATTTATAATTACTACATGTCTGTATTATACTGTATATGAGTACTTATTGTAGCTGTAGATGTTTAAAATAACTGCTATATAATTCAGTAGACGATATTTGTTATTAATGTTTTATATCCAGGTCATATTTTTAAGCTAATTTTGATGAATTAGTTGCAACTTTTTTTTTTTTTGCATTTGGTCTTTCGTTGACTAGTTGAAAAGTATGTTGTAAAAATTCATAATTTTGGATGTAAAGTATATGATATCATTAATACTTTTTCTAAATGTTTAGATTTTTAAATTGTATAATTCAAAATTATATTAATAGTTTAGAGTTTATACATAATAGACATTTTCATACACTTAATAATAATGTAATTTTAGTTCAGATACAATGTATCTGATTTTAATATCCTGAATTCATTTACTTTTTCAAAATTAGACTTAAAGAAAATAACCAACCAGGCATGGTGGCACATACCTGTAATCCCAGCACTTTGAGAGGAGGAGGCGAGAGGATTGCCTGAACCCAGGGGTTTGAAACCAACCTGGGCAACTTGGTGAGACCATCCCTCTACAATAAATTAAGAAAATAGCTGGGTGTAGTGGCATGTGCCTGTAGTTCTAGCTACTTGGAAAACTGAGGTGAAAGGATCACCTGAGCTCAGCAGGTCGAGGCTGTGGTGGCAATGAGCCAGCCTGGGCAACAAAGTGATACTCTGACCAAAAATAAATAAATAAATAAATAAATAAATAAATAAAAAAATAAAAGAAATAACCAAAGATAGTATAGAGCTTAATATGTGTTTTTGATGCTTTAGAAGCTGCTATCTAGGCTGAGGTTTTACTTTTACTTTTTAACTGAATATAAGGGACATTCTGAAAGGTTTTCTAAAAATTCTGTATATTTATTAATGTTTAAAGATATCAGGAGATACAGTATCCGTGACTTCCTTTGTTATTATAAAAATAGTGTAATAAGGATTATGACAATAGCAATAGTAATAATTATTGCTGTTACTATTTAAACAGCCTTTTATGTTCCAAGAACTCTTAGTTGCTTGAGAGATTTTGTTTCAAATATGTTTTAGTGTATCTCTAATACATTTGAAAACTTATTATATGGCTTAAGCATTTAATATTATTGCAGCCCTTATAGTAGATTCCTTTTTTCCTTTTTTTCTTTTCTCACTCCTTCTTCCCCAAAGAAAATATTTGCTACTGACCATTATTATTGTGAACATGTTATATTTGTGCTTCCTGGAATGAAAATTCTATATAACTAGGAACTAAAGTGATCAGACATACAATGGGGAAATAGCTCACAATATTCTGTCTTGGTTCCTGCCTCTGGTGTCTTACCTGTGCGTTTTCAGGGTTAGTTCTGAGGTTTAGTGTCATTCATATTGGAGTGGTTTAGTGATTTCCTAGAACAAGGTGCTTCCTGTTGGATTCTTTAGCAGATTTCATCTCATAGACCTTTACAAGACATCATGGAAAAATACCCTCTTTAGTTCATCTCAGCAGACATGTTTAAGGAAAATGCCAAGACAAGAGCAGAAGAACAAAGGAGAAAATCGACTAGTTCCTCAATGTAACCATGATTCAAAAGAACTAATTGAGATTAGCACATGAAGTCATCATTGGGCTTTTAATATCTAATATTTTCTCAAATTAACTATGTAATTACAATTATGGAATCAGGTTGAAGTCTCTCATTTTTGAACACTTTGTTTACTTTAGGTCTTCAGTCTTGTGGTTTAACTTTTTGTTTTAAAGTGGTCGAACTCTTTGTTTTTCCAAATATTCTGTAAAGTTGGACCTCATGTGAATCCATCACAATGTTTCTGATTCTTTTGAAGTTTTCTGCCATACTATCCATGGGTGAAGGTATCCCTTGAACCTCATTCAAATGTACTACACATATTCTGAATAATTTCATTCTAGAAGCTACACACAGGGCTTTTCAGACTTCTTCATGTCAATGTCACATATAGAAAATAAACATATTTGTGTGGCACACTGGGATCAATTTGAGGTATTTGGGGGTATCTTACATGGGTCTTAATTAAATAATCATGTTTTATTTATATTATATAATTGTCATAAAAGTAATGTGTGAAATAAAAGATAATAAATATTAAATTTCTATAAAACTTCCAAATAAAATGTTTTAAAATTTTGTAATGAGGGTCTTGAGTGTGATTTTTATGAATGTGATTTTCTAAAATCAGATTTTATGCTTGAATTGTTATTCCTAATTCCTGGTGACGTTCCTTTAGGATGACCTCTTTATTTTCTTGATACTTACCAACAAGGAGTAACTTAAAGAGTGACAGCAAATGGGAGAAAACTATTTATTCCTTTTACACCTATTAATTTTTTCTCACAATTAACCCACATTTTGATAATCTGATCTCTCTCTTACATGGGGTTCATGATGTAATTCTTCTTTAAATCTAGTAACAACTTTTATTAAAAAATTTAAAGTTGACTTTGTGATAAGGCAAATGGATTTTTAATTGTCAGATTTGTTTTCCATATAAAATCTCCTAAAATAATGATAAAAACTTTCATCAAACATATTTCTTCTAAACCTAAGAATTCTTTTTTAGGATTTCTATTACAAGATGTCACACCGCTGGTGAACTGTGTTTAATTTCACTTTTCTAAGGTTTACTCAATACATATTATTGGTAAATGTTAGTATATTTTTTTCCACATAGTCTGTAGTTTTTTTATTAAGTTCATTCAGATGACCTAGAATATGAGTAAAGCAAGCCAATGACTATTTTTTGATAATTTGTAAAGGGAGGGTCATTTAAATATTTTTCAATTCTTATTTTAACTCTTAATAATGCCTTGACTAAACTACACCCATCTAAAATGTACTTTGATATTAAACAGTGATAATATATTTGATCACATATAGTTAAAAACAGAAAGGTCTGTAACAGCTAGGGCTTTATTAGATTCACCATTTGGTAATACCATTTAATATGGAATTCAGGCCTACTGATGAACCTTTGATAAGTTCTTTATGAATAAATCTACATTTAACTGATTCTCAGAATCTTCTTGTATCTGTGCCATCAGTACATAACTTATGCATGTTTCCATCATAATGTAATGCTCATTTACTCTTTTGTTTGGTAGTTGTGACTTTATAGAATAACTAATGCTCTAAGAGTTTCTCTTCAGGATTTAACAGTTACTAACAAGATTATTAATCTGAAGTAATGCATTTATGACTCAATCATCTTCTAGATTAGAATTATTTTCATGTATTTGACATGTTTTCTATTTATCTACTAATTATATTATTCAAAAGTGGCACTTTATCTCTTTCCCTTGGAAAATACTGATAGTTTCCATCCAGTTCTGCAATTGTATGAGTTATGTGGGCTTTTCTATTGTTAGCATGACCTAATAACTAGCTTTATGAGTATCATTGATATTGTTATAGCCTGAGAAAACATTGTTTCTTATTTTATACTGTATTTGTTTAAAATGTTAATCTTGTGTGTAAAATGGATGTTTAATAGAAACATGCCAGTATAATTTACTTGACACTATTGCTTTACTTAATAACATTTTGAAGGAAATAAGACCTCTAGGCTGAAGAACAGGAAGAATTTATGAAGAACTTGATACCAAATGTGAGATAGTCCTCAAAGTGCACCAATAATAATTTTTTAAACTATTTTCTTGAGGGGGTGAAATGTGTTGAACTTTTGAAGTCTCCAATTTTAATAATTTTTTTGTTATGTTAGAAAAAATATCAGTGAATTTTAAGACTTTACAAATATAAGGGATAAAGCAAAACAAAACAAAACAACAAACCCAAGGGAGTTGCAGGCATATGTGGTCAGAAATTAAGTTCAAAACAATAATTTAGGTTATTTGTATTCTTTAGAATTGTACAAAAGAAATTGAAAAATAAATCATGTTTCTTGCAACAACAGGAATGCAGTTAGAGATCATCATTCTAAGTAAACTGACTCAGAAACAGAAAACCAAACACCACATGTTCTCCTCACTCATGTGAGAACTAAATGGTCACAAGGATGAAAATGATAGATACTAGGGACATCAATAAGAAATGGGGGGAGTTAGAGTTCAGAAACTGCCTATGGGGCACAATGTTCACTATCTGGGGAATGGGCCACTCTAGCCCCAACACCCACACTGCACAATATGTCCATGTAACAAATACACATGTGTACCCCCCGAATCGAAAATTTTAAAAAGTATAACAAAAAGTTAATTTTGAAAATTAATACAGTTAAGAATTAGGAAGCATTGGATATTTTCATTTAATAAAATATACTTTCAAAATAGTCTTAAAATATAAATATTACATTCACTTTTGTAGAGTTAAATATATTTTGGAGACTCTTCTATAATGAATTGATTTAATTAAATTATGTTTTCCTATTTTTAGAAATCAGAACTTTTATTTCTGGAAACAACTTTGTAATGAAATTTTATTGAGTTAGACTATGACTAATTATAATATTAAAAGCCAAAACTAAAACAATGGGTAAATGAATGAACAAAACAAGTCATATTAATGGAAAAAATTAATAAAAATTATGGGCTCTACTTGAAGCACCTAGTCTCAAATAATAGTGATAATAAAGAAAACAATGTGTGCATTATCCATTAGTTGAAAAATTTATTTGAAATATGAAAGCATAGAACCAATTAAGTCAGAAGAGAATTTAAATATTGTACATACATACAAAGAACCTCAAGAATGGCAAATCATAAAGTGAAATCAAACTAGCTGATTATTTTAGGAAGTGCTTTATTTTTTTTATTTGAGTTGGAGTCTCACTGTCGCCCAGATTGGAGTACAGTGGCCGCTCCCGGCCACCACAGCCTCGACCTGCTGGGCTCCAGTGATCTTTTCGCCTCAGCCTTCCAAGTAGCTGGAAATACAGGTGCACACTATCACGCCTGGCTAATTTTTTTTGTTTCTTGTAGAGATGAGGTCTCGCCTGCCCAGGCGGGTCTCGAACCCGTGGGCTCAGGCAATCCACT